TGAAAAGCAAGAGAGGTTTCTTAGTGTTCCCGATGCAGTTCCTGAGATATCCCAGACTTTCTAATCTCCCTGTGCATATCATTCGACGCAAGCCCAGGGATAAATAGTTGCGATGATTTAGCGCAGTCCTAGGAGCACTTTTCAGGCTTGGTTTGTGAATGGTTTGTGGAACGGAATCCTTTCGGCTGGTTTGCCGGTCCGGATGATCTGGATATTAACACCTTGCAAAGCGGTAAGATCGGCACTCTCAATAACCAACCCCGATAACTAAGGTCGTTGATATTATCAGGACAGTGCCGTTAATATTTCAGTTAATATTTTCAGCTAAGCTGAAAAGCCGAGAAACACTGTACAGCACTTTCACCCCTTTCATCCCTTTCTCATCCAAAATATTCAAGAAGGAACACTAAACTGTTTGGGAATGAGCTGGTAATCTGAGCAATCGGGTCGCACATAGATAGTCAAGGCATTCACGCCACGCGATCACGTGTTCAATGACTTAGGAGGAATGATTCACAACTTGTGTTAATCTGCAATCTGAGAAGCTGTCGGTCAAGGAACGAGCAAGTGACTGAATGATGAGTGGCGCTAGGTAGGGGCGGGTTAATCACACTGCTTATCGTTCCGATTGGTTAGGTGGTCGCCTAACAGTCGGCACTTTAGATAATTCGGTGGGCACTGCAAACATTTCACAATATGAATGGAGCGGCTTTCCACTGTTCATGAGCTTTTCGAAATAGATTCACTTCATCCTTAGGTCACAATTTCGACCAAAATTACAGAATTTTCAATCTGGCTGCTCTCCTATCGCACTTGAACTTTACCGTAACTTTCTCGTGTGACAGGACTACTTCGGATGAATGTGGTCCAGAGGGAGTTGGTTTAGAGGCAGATTGCCCTAATATAAGTTTGGTATCGAACCCAATCCTACTGGCAATTGTTCTACATACCACCAGGGTTTAACCCTTTAGTGGTCCGACAACGACAGAACACCATCCCTAAAGATGTATAGGAGGAAATATCTGTTTGGAATTCTGAACACCGATCTTTTCCGGTATACGCCCGGCTAACTGACTGACCAATAAGAAGACTGAAGGGATGTAAAGAAGCACCAGGAGCCCAAACAATGCTTTATAATTAAGAAAGCGTCCCCTATGTATTCAGCTTCACGAAGTGCTTAGAACATCCACTCTCAGAATAAAGGGATTGCTCCCACGAGAATAACTAAAGCTGGGGAATTTTTATACGCGATGCAGTTTCCGGCGATTATATTCGAACTGAGCTGCACCCGACGATTATCCCACGTCACATTTATGCGGTTAAACCTTGAATTTCGTCACCACGCCAATGCCCATTGGACCAGCACTTCAATTGCATCAGTTGTTCGCGAGTCTCATGCGTAACTCATAGAACGAAGTCAAAGTACGCAAAGTATGGACGAAAAGATGTCCCTAGAGACAGACTCGGTACAGATGAGTCAGCCGAGTCAGCTATCCAGGGCATCATTCATGTAGTTAGACTTTACATGTAGTTTTCGATGGAATCTTCAGAGGATGGATTTGAACAGTTAGCTAGCTAAAAACAACTACATCTTTTGAAATGACAGAAATATTTCTAGACAACATTTTAGGGGAATTAAATATGTATCAATTGAAGACGGTGAATATAAGACCCATGTTACTACATCCGAAGTCTGGCGTGATTTCGTTTGACCGTCTGTGTAGATCGAACGCGGTGAAGTTTCCGGTTGGCACAGAACCATCGACAACCATGCCATACAGACAAACAGAATCATCTTTCGCTATTGCTTAATTCAGTACTGTTCTTGCTGTTTTACTGTTCCTTGCGCTGCCATGTAGTATGCGGTTCCATCCAGTTTATGAATATTTAGCCTGAAAAAGTTGGCATGGACGTGTCACATAAGGACAGTACATTAGAGGACAACAGTGATGCAAATGAACCTTCTCTATTGCAACCACCGCTGTAGTTGTCTGGGCGGGGGGTGCACACATACCCTGATTAATTCATCTCATAGCATTATGTTGACTGGTCTGCATTCAGAGTTCTGATTCAAATGAGGTTAGAGAGCCGGGAAGTCCTTACTCGGTATGTGGTCAGTAATATGGCAAATGTTACTACCTAGCGCCGTTTTTCGACGGTTTTCTATGTCACCATATCTTAGTTGGACCCATCACCGCACAACCTGACTGAATGAAACCGTATTGCATCTGGGATTGGAAAAAAAGTCCGGGATCCAATTGCATGTTTGTTTTGGGTGAATGCTTCCTAGGACTGGAGAAATCAATTCAGTTCACTCGGTACTGCCCTGGGATGTGATATGCACCCCAGATGGACTACTATTTGATCCACGCAGATCTATGGCATACTCAGGCAACAGGTGTGATATGCCAATACATCACTAGAGTGGGATCCACTTACAGTCATCAGACAGGGCCAGGTCCTGCTCCAGTGTTTCCCCGCTTCAATCTAACGGACGTTGTCGAAAAAGTCAAATCATTCTACTAAACACTTGAAACAAATAATAGCAGCGTTGTTTGCATTGAGATATGCATCGAGTGGTAATTTAACTCCTACGCGTAATTCGTTGCATTCGAAGTCCTTCAGTCTATCCATACATCTGCCTCTATCCATATCTATCTAATGTACTACCCACCTATCTATCTATCTATCTATCTATCTATCTATCTATCTATCTATCTATCTATCTATCTATCTATCTATCTATCTATCTATCTATCTATCTATCTATCTATCTATCTATCTATCTATCTATCTATCTATCTATCTATCTATCTATCTATCTATCTATCTATCTATCTATCTATCTATCTATCTATCTATCTATCTATCTATCTATCTATCTATCTATCTATCTATCTATCTATCTATCTATCTATCTATCTATCTATCTATCTATCTATCTATCTATCTATCTATCTATCTATCTATCTATCTATCTATCTATCTATCTATCTATCTATCTATCTATCTATCTATCTATCTATCTATCTATCTATCTATCTATCTATCTATCTATCTATCTATCTATCTATCTATCTATCTATCTATCTATCTATCTATCTATCTATCTATCTATCTATCTATCTATCTATCTATCTATCTATCTATCTATCTATCTATCTATCTATCTATCTATCTATCTATCTATCTATCTATCTATCTATCTATCTATCTATCTATCTATCTATCTATCTATCTATCTATTTCACAATCTCCAAAAATTTCTCACAATCTTGTCAGTAAATATGGTCTATCCTTCCTGAGTAATCACCATGAATGCGGTACACTATCACTGACATTTATTAATTGGATTTGATGGAGTGTTTGTCTCCGAAATTGCCACCTTTTGTAGTGTTCGATTTGTCCATACAAACACACCTGTCCCGCAGTCATTAAAACTTTCATCACAAATCACGGTATCGATGGAAAGTTTTATGACTCCCGTACCTCACACAAAAAAGAATTTTCACTGTCGATGCTCGTCACTGTGCACTGCTACACTACATATTTCCCGAACTTCAATAAAAGCAACAGTTGCATTGATGTGTGAAAGGGAATTATCTAGTTAACCGTTTTTTCCACATTTAAAGATAACTTGTCTTTCTAAACGCTGCACACCAACTAAGCTAATTGAAATCTGGGTTTCTATTTTCGGACTTCCTAATCAAAACCGAATCACGAATATAATAGCTCCTTTATACTCGGCGCAATTCCCGGGAAACAAATCGCAGGAAGGCAACAGACTTATTGTCGATATCTGCAGTAACGGCAAGCGACTGTTTTACGACAGCTTGAGTTTGACGTGAATTTTTGCGCTTGCTACGTGCACTAATGCCTTCTTTGTTGTCTTCTTCATTAGTGAACTCTGTTGTGGCTTCCCTGCTAGCATTCGTTATCTGAATTTTACAAAATGATTTCCCCGTTCTCTTCTACTAATTAATTAAGATCTTTGCAACCAGTCAGCATCTGAAAGCAATCGTTCATATTCTGCAGACTTTGTCCCCGTGGTTGTGTACTAGGTGACAGAATTTCATATTTGGACAATTTTATTCATGTCTCAACTAGATGAGTAATCCTGTGTTTGGATCATATGACGGTAACGATATTTTTCTTCAGGCATCATAATAGGAAGCTTCGCATTGGGAGACCCTCCTGCATTTTCGACTCACAATAGACTCCGGTGTACTTCGGCGAAGACCGGGGGCGAGCAACTGTATTGAGTGACACGCAAAGTGACAGAATTTAATTAATTTGTTTCGCTCTGATCAATAATGTAGTAATGGAACAAGCTCAAGTGGTGGCATGACTACCTTTACATAGGGTAACAATGGAACTCCCACCGCACGAGAGTTGAAAAAGACTCATCAGTAATTCCGAAACGCATGCGTTTAAAAGTTTTTGCTATTTCTAAGATAAGATGAGGTTTGTTAATCTAAACCGACTTACAATATTTGGGGTCATACTTTTTGAGCAGAACGGCGTAAGCTGTAAACTAGCAGCTGTCGGTTAGTGCGGTACCTATATCCCATATGGTATGAGTGTCCGTATATTATGGGACAGTCTTGCGATCGAAATAAGAGTAGTATTTTCAATTTTGCAAAATTTTGTGCGCAATACCACCCAGAGACTGCTGCAGGGCCGAACGAAGTAGTTTGTCTATGCTGCAGAATTAAAAATGGGTCTTGAACTTTTAGGTGCTAATATTCATTCTCAAGAATCGTTAATGTTGAGATTGTTGCTCTGGAGTCAAGTGAAAATCCAAATGAGCATCTTGTACGCGGAACGTAACACAAAATCGGGCGCTGTTCTGGGTTATGTTAATGTCGGTGGCCGTGTTCTAATAACCGACCACACCTTTCAAGATTGTAGATGAAGAATGTGCTTTAGAAGGCTGTTGTGAAGTTAAAATGCTTTTCTGATGAACAAAGTAGTTTTTTTATGTATTCCGTGAGGTGAAATTAGCCGGACTTGAAAAGTAGCACCGCGTTGTTTCCAAGATAAAAGTAGATGAAATGTTTCGTCTCGTGTGTCACGTAGCTGGAATTGAGAAAAGAAAAATCTTTAATTTGTACCTACTGGCAATTCTTTCAGTAACAAACATAAATAACGGAAGATGATAAACAGCAAGCCACCAATTTTGAAGGTGTGAAAGCCACGAAAAGAATTCGTTCATTCGTCAAACAAAAACCGAATGTAGATATTCCAGAGACGGAAGTCAAACTCCGGAGACGGCAATGAAACATTCATCAATCAACTTCAGCCTCAACATTCGAAAACGAACTTGACTTCAAGAAGCGCTCTCTATGTGACAGAATGCCTTCCCTAAAGTGCACTGAACAACACGAGACTACAGTTGCCAACACATCTTCCGGAATGTCCTCTAAACCCATGCTCAAATGCGCTTGTGGAGTAAAATCACTTGGTTGCGGACGTAGAGCTCTGAAGATAGGCAAACCGTTTCAAATAATTCCTATCGGATGAATACTTTATTGTGCTGATGAGGCTAGAGATTACGATTACGATAACCTCAGTGGTGTAGTCATATTAACACTCATCAATGTTAACCGAGCTTTCTACTTACAGAATATCAGTAGTTTGACTATTGATCACCAGAAAGAATCATGCTCAGTACATTAACATCAAGCGCATCCACTCCACACTCAGAGGAATGACGTTAAAACCGGTTTTCCTATGGACATCACCGTGGACTAGTGTGATGGAAACATTAATCAGTCTGATCAACTCTAACTGGCCGAATGAGCTTCTGTGAGAATGGCTCCTTGGGTTTGTATGTTTATCGCTTTCCTTCTACGATGAGTTCTCACAATTTCCATGCCATGTCAACACAAAATAGCATAGTAGCATAGCATAGTAGAGAACACTCGGTTAAAGGATATTCAGTAAGATATTCAGTAAGATATTCAGTAAGATATTTCGACATACACTAGACGAGTGTACTTCATCCGCCCGTAAGATTGTTGTTGTTAGTTAGTTGGTTGGTTTAAATGGTGGCTTTGGGAGAAGTTACTACTAAGTTGAATCAGATACTGAGGATGTCCTTTTATGTATATATATATGTATATCTATAGAGGAGAATGTCGGTAGCTCAGGTCACGTGGGCATCGGCGAATGAGGACACGGGATAAATGAACAACCAATGGAACCGCCCGACAGAATAACTAATCGCGGTCAAAGGTCGTCCCCGGCTACCAGCACGTATATCAACACACACGTAACACTACAGAACGCACAACCACTAACCCACCGCTACGCACAACTACGCTCCCCAATAACGCACTGAGGATGTCACCTCGATTGGTGATGAAACGTTTGCAACCAAATTGCCCAGCTCAGCGAACAAGCCAACGACCATATATGTATATCATTGATGTCTACCATAGATCTCTTTTCTTTGAGAGATACAGTAAAATCTGGTTCGGAAGTGAGCAAAATATATGGATTTTACTCGGTTTGATCTTCATATTTAAGGCTCGGTCCATCTCATTTAGGTGGCCGATAACTTTTCACCTGATTTTTTTAAAACTTGATCGTGTATTAGAAAATCCTTGGTAGGCTAACGAAATGTAACATTTCAGGCGATAAGGTGAGGATTCAGTTAAGCAAGGGAACACCAGCCGAACATTTGAAAACATCCGTAGAGTGCAAAACCAAATGGACGAATGAACCGACACGGATAACCGAAAGATTTACGAAGAAATCGTAAATCGTGGGAAATCGTCGATGGCATTAACCATGATATCAATTGGAAAACAAAATTCGTCTCTTTGTGAACAGTCACCTATTTGCTCAAACATTGATCAGTCAAGGCTGGATACCGACGTAACAGTAAGAACATGAAAATAAATTTATCCCTGTACATTGTGGCCCTGGGGCAGCTAAGCACACTGTTTATATTAGGACTGCCGAAAAGATTATTTGCGTTTTAAAACCTAAACCCGATAACTTATATCGGCAGTTTACTGCTTTCAAGAGGCACCATGAAAAGGTGAAGAAAAGAATACCGTCTGGCTCCGGAAAGACATTAATAATCGTTTTTAGTTGTGGTATCGATGTTTTACGGAACATTCAGGGGCATAACACAGGGCTGCCAGCCTATTCACATCTCACATTCATAATTCTCAAACGGAACTAGTTCACCGCTAGTCAGTTTCTCATCTTGTGCGCCTTGATGCTCTCGTAACATCGACTGCGAAAGTAATATAATTCCCGTTGACCAGGTCTGGCGAACTACTTAAACCTATCTTTCACGGATTTGGCTCGTTTTTTAGGTCTTCTACTAACTCCCGAAATGACAGCACTTTCGAACTACCTAACGTTTTGGACAGTCAACATTGTTTCGGCAGTCATCTGCTACTTAAATATTGAGTTTCGAGCGCTACATTCCTGTCGAAAATGTATTGTGTGGCTGTGTAAAATACTATCTATCAAAAAGACTAGGCCAGACTGCTGCGAAATGTAACTCAGTATGCCTAAACATTCAGAGGAAGCATGTATCTCTAGTTTTGGACGGTGATTTTGACCTTGTTTTGCTGAGGGTGCTCAAGTTCAGGGCGAGTATGTTGAGGGGGAAAGTAGATGGCTGGACTATCTTGCAGAACATCTCTACTTATGGCCCCGCATTGAATAAATTTCGGTCAAAAGAGTGTGCGATGAGTACTGTGTGGGCAATTGTGTGAAGTGACGATTGGCGACTGACCGGTGATGAAACGCTTGCTGTCTAGCTGCCAGGCTGGGCGAGGAAATCAACGACCCGAGTGCTACGCGCATTCAACACACATTACCGAGTTATAGTATGCTTATGAAAAGTAGTTTTCACTTATTGCCAGACTTTACTCAAGAACTAGTGAACAACAGATTCCTTGCGCAATGAACTTTCGTAATTATTTCGAAGAATCGCACCTGGCAATAACCATTCCGAGATGCATATCAATCTCAGCTATCTTGGCAAAATGGCTGAGCACTGTTTGGTTTCTCCGGATGAGTTCACTCACACAAGAGAGACGTAGCTTTTATTCATATAAAAATTTTCAAGGTTGTTCTCACTATGTTTGTGTACACAACAGATGAAATTAGATTTATTCGCCTTTTCATCGCAAGTTCTTGTGGGCTACGAGTTAAATTGATTTCCATGAAGGAGGAAAGCCCGTACAAAGTAAATGACGAGCTTAAATTTTCCATGTATGTCATCCACTCATAGGAATTATGAGAAATGTGCCCTAGACAAAACGTCGCCTTATTTTTACGCCCACCATTATCACACTTACCTTCCAAAGGATCGTCCGACAATGCAGTGCCATGTCGGCCCATAACGACTATCGAATTCCTTTTTTAGGTGAGCCGCAACGTCCTTCTCCATCGTATATTTGTTCATTGCTTCGTTACAAACATCAACCGCGTCCTGCTGCATATCTGCCTCCATATCGGCATTTTTCACCACTGCCTTCCTGTCCGTCATGGTGCGCGCTGTGAATGATTTGTGGCCTACCCTCATCCATTTTATTTTAAAAGTGAAAGTTAAGTAGCTTGGCTTCAACCTAGTTTAGATAGAAAGGCATTGGATAAGAACAACACACAAAAATGTCGCTCAGTTCATTTGGCCATCATAATGACTTTCATTTCCAACACCAGTCAATATCTCCGTTCTAACGCACACCCACAGCTGCATTTGAGTTCATTTTTGAGATGCTAGAAACAATGTGGATTGACCAAATTAAAGCAAGTCCACTGGCTATTAGGCGCTGGCGTTTGCAGCGAGATATCAAAGCAAACGTTATGGGCACATGTGCTTAGCCTTTGTGAATCGATCACATGATTCACGGATCAGGTTAACCTAGTGCAACAATACTTTTACAGTATAGTCAAAGCGTTGCTGAAGAACATAGCTAATCGTGGCTAGTTGGAAAGAATGTATTGTATTGTAAATTTAACTGTCTGTTCACTGAACATGGTTCTTCAACCTGAGGGTGCAGATCGGGATTACTCGACTGCTTTCGGTGGACGGGAGCAGATCCTCGATTAAGCAGTCCATGCAAGATACAATATATATGGAGGTGCATTTTGGTGTAGTCGAAAGTGCTTACATGAGAGAGACCATCAGACGCTGCAAAATGGGAAACTTATGAGTGTTATCTCACACTGGTTGCTCTGTCAACAATGGATTCAATCAAATGAATCCGACATAGGTTGAACACCGCCTGGTGTCCAGGGTGTTGTAGCTGTTGCCATGGCCGCCAAGAAATTACCTGTGAGAGCAGGAGTTCTGAATTGTTCTTGGGGAGAGATGTTTTGGTTGGGCATTTTTCTCTCCTGAAATCATTTAATTTCTTTTTTGCGGCTTTGCACAATCTATTATTACCCAGGCACTCCAACTCGTTTGAACCCAGTGGTTTGAACGATTTGTGAGGCATGAAACACCTTCCCTTATCTCTGAGATAGAAGCTGTGAAAGTCTCTAGGGAGGTGCAAGACTGACCGGTTGATTTGCCAAAGGTCAGTTGCCACGGAACTATCCTCGAATGACCAATCTCGTCTTAAGCTCGTCATGTCCTGGCGAGCCAATCGATTATTCTAGATGGTGGTTCGCTAACCTATTAGCTTTAGCCATCCACGATGAACAAGTGGACCTTCTGCGATGGACGCGTTTGATCCGAGAAAATCAGCACCTACGAGCAAGTCACAGTGAGAGGTTTAGAGCATGGAAGAAGACCCCAGTGCGATTCAGCGTTCAGAGTATTGGAGCTATCAACAGCTTGCCCTTAAATGAAAAAAATGGTTGTTCTTCAAAACGCTGATGAAGCATGTCAAGTATTCCAGCGGGTGCGGATTGTCGTTCTTGGTCGTCCAGCAGTGGAGATACAAATGCTTTGGCGATAAAATAATATTCTGACGCCAGATCTCTTCAAATGTATTATTTCCCCGAGCGACCTGTAGGTGCTTTAGTGTTCTAGCAAGTGCTACACTCGCCTGTTATCATTATTCACCTAAAGGGAGGTTGTTTTGAGTTGATTAAGTGTGGAACGATCCCAAAACACACCACTTCAGCGGACTACTGCAACGGTCTTTGTACTTTGGTAATATGGCTTACTTTTGTCTGCACTGTTCTTTATTTTAAGTGACATTACTGCCATTATTAGTGCAACATCTGTAGACTGTATGGACTATAACGAAGCCCTACTACAGATCCAGCGCGTAGGGGATGTCTGCCCCAACGTGTTCTGAGGAACAAAAGGAATACAATGCAGGTATTTGGCAGAATTAATCAATTTTACTAGCTGACCGACCAAAATGTAAAGTACTTCTTGAATGTCATAGAACCAGAGAGTTCTAGATGCCCAGCATTAATTAGTACGATGAGGATGATACCTGGTGATCCTCTCATTTTTGTTCGTTTGCGAGATTTTACCGTCCGATTCGTCCTTAATTTGTGGGTGACCTTCATTTTAGCATAACGTATTCGTAAACTGATAACCAGATCATCAGCAGCAATCGAGAGTTTTCTCCATATGACATTGTTTACAGAAGAATTGAGAACTTCTGTGCAACTAACTGCCGTTTTTGACGCTTGTATAGCTCGCCACTATGGTTTAAACCAAAAGGAGTAACAAAATGATTGTCCAATAAAACAGTCATGTGCGACTTAGCAAAGGAACCGCGCACGGACAAGGGAAACTTTTCTAAAATGCCCGAAATCGTCAAGGATGAAAATCCATCTAGACATCTAATTGCTTAGATAGTACCGTGTCAGACGAAAACTAACAAGGTGCCGCCACAATAAGGGCAACAGCAGTCAAATTCCGCCCTGTATGTGGTAAATTTAGGAAGTATACTGTTTCTCATTTATGGATTCCCGTCCCTTTCGTTCTTAGTGAAATCTGACACAATATTCCATGTGATCTCATAGTCTAAAACTTTGACGCAAATGACTAACAGGGATTCACTTATATGGACACAGGTTTTGGGCATGATCTGAAAACACTGGGAACACAACATACACTACTGATTTAAAGCTCTCAGCCTTCGCAGCATGTCATTAGAGAAACAGTAACTTCAGTCAAATTCGTCGAATCTGAGGGTCTGCCTTAAGAGAGGGTCGAAAATGTCCACAGATATATGTAACAAATCAAAGAATCTTAAGTAAATCTTCACTATCTGAGAAGCCTATTATTATACTTCACCTTCTTAATGTTCTATGTATCTGTCTGGTTCAGTGTGAGATACAAGCTTCGAAAAATTGTCAGCAAATACGAACCACAAATGCTCAGTTCTTGGACAGCTGATGTCGAACGTGACCCCAACACAGTCAAACGGAACCCGATATAGGAGGTTTGGTTGTTGATGAAATGCATAGTCGGTATTCTGAAATGGACGAATCTAATCTAATCTTGATATATTCCCATGTTTTGATTGCGATACTGAATGATTAAAGGCCTCAAAGTATGGTTATCATTTCAACCCGCAAAATTAATAAACAGAATTTGTCCGGATTAAAATTTAATAAAAGAAATGTAGTTGCGTCGAAGGTTGGAGACAGAAAAATTCACCCTTCCATTTACCACTGGGGTTCAAGATTATGGGTATCGGGACGCGTACGTAAAGACCTGCGGCCAAACTGATTTCGAGTGCTACTGTAGTTCTCTGGATGGAAATGGATGAACGGTGTTTTGCAGCTACCATTCATCTTTACCAACTAGTATTTATTGCGTGATCTTTGGGAAACACTTGTTAAAGTGGCTTGATCGCCCATAGTTCCCTGCTATTCAGCCGGATTGTTAACCACACAAATGAGACTTGACCTGGTCAGCAAACTCAGGGAACTGATATGGGTTCGAAGCATCGGGTGGGAAAACCGTTGGGTCAACTCTCCTTGGTGCTCTTACAATGCAAAGGGCATGGGGGCATTCAAATGTTCAGTTGTTAAACCTACTAGATAATATGGAGATTGCGCTATTGAACACCCCCGTATATAGTGTGTATGTTGTATGTATGAATGCATGCGTGTCTGTGAAATGTGTGTGTGTGGAGTGTGCAGCTGATCTACTTAGCCGCGGGTGTTCCTGCCCCGTCTGTTAAGCCTACGCTGACTTGTTCTCTCGTGATTTTCGTGTAATCGCCCTGCCAATCAGATTCGCGAGACTGGCCTCGGAAGCGATGACCACAAGCCACACTACCCAGCCAACTTTCCTATCGCCGTCGTCTGGTGTGCGATCGTGATACAGACCGGTCGGTGACAGATTTGCGCAATGGGTAATGACATGAGCGTGGACAGTCGTGGTTTGTTGTGTTGTTTTGCTCGCTTTCGTGCAAATATTCCCGTAAACTTTCGAACCCAGTTCTCGTTTTTGGTATTCAGGATCGCCAAACAAGTGCCTACTTTTGTTGAGAATAACTAATGAGACTTGGTCTGCATGGTGTTTTCAAGTTTTCTGTCAACTGGGAACCAAGTTAAAGATATAAAAATCAAAGAGTGAGTTTGGTAAATTAGACTGCCATTTTGAAGACCCAAATGAATTACTTGTTTGTGGTATTCATCTGCGTTATAAAGAGTCCTATTTTAGAGGATTATATCCTTATACGGTGTGCATCGTTCTGACTAAAACACAAAAAGGTGTTTGTGTAATGCGTCCTTAGGTAGTAAATATCAAAATCGAAAGGTTTAATGGGGCCTTACGTTAACACAGTCCCAACTGGTAAAATTCGTTCAGGTTGCCAGGCCCATTTTGAAGACCCAAATGAATTACTTGTTTGTGGTATTCATCTGCGTTATAAAGAGTCCTATTTTAGAGGATTATATCCTTATACGGTGTGCATCGTTCTGACTAAAACACAAAAAGGTGTTTGTGTAATGCGTCCTTAGGTAGTAAATATCAAAATCGAAAGGTTTAATGGGGCCTTACGTTAACACAGTCCCAACTGGTAAAATTCGTTCAGGTTGCCAGGCTGCCCTAGCCTAGACGGGGGCAGTTGATGTGATGAAATTGTGCTCGAACCACCGAATTCCGTTCAGTAAGTTCTTGCGTTAAGCACTGAGCTACTTCGGGGTTACTACGCAGTCCAAAGGAAATATGAGTCCATGGTTCAACGACTACACCGAGTCCATATTTAACCGTATGAGGCTGGCACAAAAAATAAATCCACCGTAGAGAGAAACTCCAATGTGGTTTTTGCACAGCAACATGACTGCAGAATGATTTGGATTATAACAGGAGCCTTTCTGGGATTTCCCCCTGCAGAGTCATCCAGAGGAACCAGAAACTCGCTCATTTGGCCCGTAAATTTGTCACTCATTTGGTGCCACATTAATGGTATTTATGCATTAGTAAAAGCCTTTATCAAATCCACCCTAGTTGAATATACTTGAAGGCTACTGGTGTTCCATGTTATCGTGACCGTCATGCAGTCATTCGGTCTCACAGTTATTTCATCTACGGAAGAGTAGTCCTTCTCTTCTATGTTGACAAAGCTTGACCCACGGATACAAACGTATACCACTATC